ATTATAAAGATATATGTGAGGCTTCTTTTTGGACTGCTAAATGTATGTACGATTTTGACCCAAAAAATTTTGTTTTTCCTTAATATGTTAAAAATATTAAATGCTTTACTTAGCAACTTCTTTTCTTTTTTATTTAATTTTTGAAGTTATATTTCTTTAGACGCGTTATGAAAAAATGATGAGAGTCAAATTATAAGATGCGCGCGCATCATTGTACAAAAAAGTACCACCTTTGAAACTGTCCGCTAAACCGCGCTATCCTTTTCCAGTCTTTTTATTATTTTATCGTGATTAATTATGTGCATGCAATTAAAAAATATTTTTTAATGATGCCAAAGAAGTATACTCTCATATATTATATCACGTGCGTACATATGTAAATGCACCCACTGGTTTTTTTATTAACATAAAAATATATATATTACAACAGTCTTGAAAGTCGAGAAAGATTGCGGAAGTAAAAAAAATGTGTACCCTGTAAAACTGTAGGTAACGTCTACATCTACACAGTGTTTAATGTTCAATAAACCTATCATTGTGAGACTTAAAGCGGTAGTTTTCCTAAACTGTGGGTGGAGATTTAATTTTTTTGGCATGCGCCAGTTTAAACGGACTCGCATTTAAACTGGCGCGATGTTTTAATCTTATTTCAGTTTTTTTATCTTCGTTATTTGACGATCTCCCTAAACGCATATTTATTTCGTCTTCGGATTAAGAAAATGCTGCGTTCAGTATTATGTTTTGTGATTGTTTCTGTAAACATCTTCACCATAAATGGGGTAAGTTGTATTTATAAATAAATTGAAATATTCTATGTAGCTGTTATTGAATATATTATTAAGCTTGATAAATATTACAATATTAAAGATGACACGAGACCAATTGAAGAAGACAATGACAGTGATGAAAAAACAGTGTATGCCGAAACATGGAGTCACAAATGGTAAGAGATTTGAAGTATAAGATCAGTACCTTTTTTATGCGAGAAAGTGGCTGGCGGTTCACCCGATGTTAAGTGACAACCGCCGCCCATAGACATTTGCAATACTCGTAGGGTTGCAAACGCGTTGCCACCTTTAAATAAAGTGGGCCCCGGCCACTTCATTTACCAGAACCAGAACGAAACGCAGAAATTGTAACACTACAACTTTACGCCGGTTCTGTGAGGTCGTGGTACTTACCCGGATGGACCTGCCCATTCGTGCAATAGTGGACACTGTTGCATGGTCCTACCACAGTTATATCATTTTAATTTTAATGATAACTTTCAGAACACAATGCAGATAAGGTATAGAGATAGCATATATTTAATTGACTGATCATCAAGTTTAAAATAGACAATGTCCTAACTTCCTAAATATTGTCATATTGAAGGAAGTAAAAGCGTTCCTAGACTGATATTAACTGTCGAATTAGTTCATCATGTAGGGTCATCAATCAAACATGTTGGGTTGGAACTGACGATACAGGCCATGCCTAGTGTGATGTCCAAATAAAATATGCCTTAACGAAACATTTGTACTGTAGTCCTAATGTATCTGTCACTTATTAATATTTTATTTTTGTTTCTATAATATCTATATTTATTTTATGATTGTAATGTGCAGATGTGTTTTGATTTCATATGTAGATTTATTATTATTATAGTAATTAACCTCAAAGAAAAAACGTTAAAAGACGTCAATTTTATTATAATTAAACTTTTAAGTAAAGTAAAGTAACAGCCTATACATGTCCCACTGCTGGGCAAAAGCCTCCTCTATACAGAGGGGGTCAGGGCATAGTCCACCACGCGGCCCCACTGCGGATTGGCGGACTTCACATATTTTCGAAATATATATTTTTTTTGTTATTATTTCGAAAATATGCAGGTTTCCACACGATGTTTTCCTTCACCGCGGAGCTCGTGATAAGTCAGCACTTAAAGTTAAAAACTTCATTGGTGCCGGCACCGGGGATCGAACTCAGGTTGCTCGAGTATATTGAATTAAAGGCGAGTGCCCGGACACTGACGTATCACGGCTTAACTTAAATTAAACTTTTAATATTTAGTCAATTTTTCGTTAAGTCCCAAGTCCACTTTTTCTTTTAGAACAAGTCGGCAAAATCGAGCAGGGTGTTTTTATAGCAGAACGGAACGTGATGTGCTATGTGGCATGTATTTATAAAGCCAGCCAGGTGGTAAGCAGATTTTCTTACACATAGTAAAATTTTAACTTTTTCCTAGTAATATTAAATATGTTATTTGGCAAACGGATATTTTTCCACTGTCAAACCAAAACTATCAATAACATTGTCCAACAATACTTTATAGGTGAAAAACGAGAGGCTTAATAAGGATTTAATAGCAAAGCAAATAGACATTCTTTATCCTCAAGATTTAAAAGCGTCAGTCAAAAAGAATACAGCAATTTGCTCCGAAATACGTGAGTAACATTCTATGCAATGTCGCATTCTTTTACTTGAATTTAAGTAACGGGTTGGTGCAGTAACTAAGCTTCGGTGCTGGCGGTGGTGGGTACAATTCCCACAAAAAACAAGTAGGTTTTAGTGTGACCACATGAAATTGTTCTGGATCTGGTCATTTGTTCTTGTGAAACGTGTGTAAGTAAAACGTCTTTATAACACAAGATAATGTTATTTACAGTAAAATCAATGCTTATATAAAAAAATTAATTTGAACATTAATAACACAGCGAATCAGGGCTTAGGCAATTTATTGAATGTCATCTGTGATGGAACTCGATTGATTCCAGTAAATGGAAAGGTCTTTCAAATACGAATATATGGTACTTACAGTGATTATTAACATAAGATGTAGGTTCGAAAGTAAGTTATCTGCATTGATGAATTACCCTTCTTCCTATTTCGTATGGCTGTGCACTGCACGCAGCGATTTAGTACAGTTAAAGTCGATAAAAATATCTAACATTTAAATATAATAATTAAAACTCCTTGAAAAAAAAGTAAAGTCACGGCCTATACGTGTCCCACGGCTGGGAAAAGTTCTCCTCTGTACAGAGGGTATCCACCAGGGAGCCCACCAGGGTTCACCACGCGGCCCCACTGCGGTTTGGTGGACTTTGCGGTGTGGGGGACACATATTTTCGAATTTTTTTTTTTGTTATTTCGATAATATGTAGGTATCCTCATGATGTGTTCCTTCACCGCTGAGCACGTGGTAAGTCAGCACTTAAAATAAAAAAAACTTTCATTGGTGCCATCACCGGGGATCGAACTCAGGTTGCTCGAGTATATTGAATTAAAGTCGAGCGCCCGGACACTGCGCTATCATGGCTCACGTGTTAAGAATAGTTTTTGGTATTCTCATTTACCTCATGATGAAGGGGAAATAAAAATAAATTTTTACTTACAGAGGATAAATATAACGACCCATGCGAAGGCATATTTTACGCAACCAAATGCTTGTACGAATCCGATCCGCCGAACTTTATATTCCCATAACGATGGAAAGAAGAAATATCTCATCAAATATTGTGTAAACTATAAATTAATATTTGAATGTTTATTATTAACTCATGTTTTTACTATAAAATGAATACCTTACATATTAAACATATATTTCTAATGAAAAATATTGTTTACTTTTCTAAGTTTATATTGTTAAATTATAGAAATATGGCAGTTATATATACTATGTAATTTAGATTATAGCGTGTAATCTAATTTTTAGAATAATAAGAAATGATGCGAAGTATGTGAAATAAGCTATTTAAAAAGCAAGAAAAAGGCTAGAAAAAAGCCTGTTAACAACAGTACGTCTAATTTTACCACGGGATGGCCTCCTACAACTTACGCGGTATCTGGTCACAGAATAATTTCAAATTGTCCGATGATCACGACGTATGAAATCTTAAGGCACTGAAAATAATTGAAAAAGTTCGGCCTCTTTCGCAAAATTCAATGCCCCAAATCAATAATTTATCACTGTCGTGACATTCAGCATAAGCAAGCAGAACAATCTTACTTTGAACTAGTGGTATAAAATCAATAATGTTTAATAATAAATTGTATATAAATATCATTGTTTATAATAAGTTATAGATAAATATAAGGTACATAATAAATAAAATGTACACATCTGTGAATCTTTTATTACATATCTATGCATGACTTGAAGTTATGTCGAAAAAAAATTTAAATTCGTGTCTTTTGTTATTTCATCTTGTAGAGTCATGTAATTTATATGTTTTTGAAGGATGGGTGGTATTTGACATGCAAGGTGTTATTTTAGAAATAAAAATCAACATGTTCAGAAGCAGCAAACAGTTGGCTTAACATAAACCAAATCTTATATTTTTACATCCTAGCCTCTTATTTTCTTCATTCTGAACATCAGTCGTTATTTACAATGTTTAATTTGGATTGTTATGCGTATTACTGTATTTGCTCTCAATAATGCGTGAAATAAATAAATAAATATTTTCATTTACATGAAACAACGACTAATTAGGTATATAAAGTTAATTTTATGCATGTTGCAATAAGTCTGGAACTATTGTAAAGATTTTATTGCGTTTATTTTTTTTGTTCCGAACTTTCGGGCAAATTACAGCGTGGAACAGGTTGTTTTATTACGTGCTATTGCCATAGTGTACTGGAGATACTGTCAATTTTTATATAAGCTATTGACAATAATTTATTTTCGTCCGATTTACGGAAAGTGTCTTGAGGACTTAGATTTATCTTTATGAATTATGGAACTCAAATGGATGGTCTTGTAATATTTCAGATTTCATAAAAAACAAAAACAAAACCGGAAGAATATACGTAATATCCTATCTGGCTGTATCAATGATACATTTTTTACAAATATACCTGCTGGTAAATTATAGTTTGCAACGTCTGTTTATAAAACACCATCCGCGAAATGCTTCAGTTTTATTGCCTGGAACGCCGGAAAAATACTTATGTTTTACTCGCATAAAATAATGTTTTTACGCGTTGTCTGCTCAATTTTGTTTATTACCACATGTGTTATGGCCGTAAGTAAGAAGATTAACTACAGTTAGAAGGGTTTTTTAACATTTTTTTCTTTTTATTTCCGTCTATTGTTTTTGTTATTATTATTTTTGTTGACAGATGACTAGGCAGCAAATGAAGAACTCTGGGAAACTTATAAAAAAGACTTGCATGCCGAAGAATGGCGTAACGGAAGGTCAGTTTATTTATAGGTTTTTCAAAGTATTTTAGTTAACGGTGGTAGGGCCACGCAGCAGCCTCGGCTGTTGCACGAATGGGCAGGCCCGTCCGGGTAAGTACCACAACCTCACAGAAGACTAGCGTAAAGTGGAAGTATGACAAATACTTTCGCGTTTCGTATGGTGAGGTAGCCGGAGCCCAATTTTCAAAAGGTTGTCAACGCATCAGTAACTCTCGGGTGTACCAGCAGATGTCCATTGGCGGCGGTATTCACTTAACATCAGGTGAACAGTCTGCTCGTTCGGCATCTTTTCACATAAAAAAAAAGTATTCCGTGCTAAACCAGTATCCCAGCAGGTGGAGTGACAATGCCACCTCAGTTAGTAAACACATTACTCAGTAAGCTGTATATGTTCATTCACACATTCGTATCGAAATACGTGCGAGGGTGAATTTACTATTCCTCTCTTGCACCTTCTCGTGATAAAGATATTAGTACTTCTCAAATACGTTATATAACGGGGGCAATTTTCAACGTCTTTTAAAGCGGTCATAAGCTGATCTATACATGAATTTAACGATGCTGCGAATATATGCACGTTTCATGGTAAAAGTATAAAAGTGAAAAACCGGCCAAGTGCAAGTCGGACTCACGCAGGAAGGGTTCCGTACAATTATCTATAAAAAAAGGCAAAAAAAATCATGTTTGTTGTATGGGAGCCCTACTTAAATATTTTTTATTTTATTGTTTAGTAATTGTTGTGATAGCGGCAACAGAAATACATCAACTGTGAAAATATCAACTAACTACCACGGTTCATGAGATAAAGCCTGGTGACAGACGGACAAACAGACAGCAGAGTCTTAGGAATAGGGTTCCCGTTTACCCTTTGGGCACGGAACCCTAAAACATTACATTACTTATTCATCGATTAATTTTCAAAGAATTCACTCACGCTAAAAAACAATAAAAACGTAATGACATCGTTTTAAGTCATTCGGGAGGACATTAGTTTTTTTCCAGGTCGTTGTTTAGGTCGTTCTTTGAGCTTGACAACTATTATATTATTTTCTTGTCTAGTGGTCTTGATAATTAGTTTTAAGAGTTTCACTTCACAAAATGCTTTAGTCTTTAATTGAAGTCTCTGTAAGTTAGCTAAGGTTAGCGGTAGCAAATAGCTACTTTATTTATATTAATTGAGATTATCTGAAATTATGTTGTCACATTTTGCTTTTTACGATTTAAAATCTATTAAATAATCCCATTAGCCATGTGTTGGGGCCTATTTTTTACGTGTTAAAGGTTTTTGTCGACAGTTAACATCAGGTAAACCACGGGCTAGTTTGTCAACATCTCAAATAAAAAAATATTTGGACCATTTTTATCTACGTACTATTTTAAAGAAAATACATTTCGTCCTTTATCTTTATCCGATATTAAATTTTTGTACGTATGGTCTTCGCAGATAAGTTAAATAAATATATTTCTTCTACATTAATATTGCTAAAAAACACTCTCTTTGATTAAAACGAGTTCTTCGCATTTGTAATATTTATTATTTAAATTATGTAGTCGTTGAAGTTGTAAAATTGATTTTAGATCAAGTCGGTGAGATAGAGCAAGGAAAATTTATTGAAGATAAAAATGTAATGTGTTACATTGCCTGCGTGTATTCTACGGGTCAAGTGGTAAGGCTACTTTAGAAATAATTTAATTTTAAGTAATATATCTCGATACGGAAAATTATCTAATATGTGTATTATATTTTGGACAATTATCTTATATCTAATATTACATCTTATTATTTATAAATTTTACTCGAGCTTATAATTTTTTTTATATATGTTTGAACTGGAACTTTGAACATTAGGAATCACATTCTGTGGTTCCAACACGTTATGATGGAAAGATAAGTGTAGAAAATCAAACCGTTTGTGATATCAAATTAGTAAATAACGGAAAAGGTTAAAAAAAAACGGAAAGACTTGGACGGTTTAGAAATTGGCTGCATTCTTAGGAATTTTAAATAGAGTATGTGGTTGTGGATCAGGATTTTGTGGGTGTACGGATGCGGATGAAGCAAAAGAGTTGTAAATATTCGTTAAAAGTGCAAATCAAACCTATCCGTGAAGCTGACGAATAAATTTATATACATTTCAATAATTTTCATTAATATAGGAATATTAATTAAAATTATTGAAATATATATAAATTATAGTATGCAGGAGCATAACAGCATATTCACTTTAATGACATGAAGTTTCATTTGCCTTTATGGTTTTAAATAACCAACTATCATTATTTAGAAAAAGAATTACTCCATGTATGAGGTACTGTTTATATTTTTATAGCTTATTCATAGGAGCAATAAACTGATAGACCATGTATATACAGCGTGTCTTTACAATCGCGACAATAAATAAACACACATATAGAGGATAACTTTTTAAAATTTATAGTAAATTTTATCTTTTTACTTTTTAAATATTTATATAATTAGTTATAAAATTTTCCAAAACAAAGAATTTTAGAACACCCTTACGTATAAAACTGTAACGTAAAGTTCATTTGTAAAGGTCACAAAGCATATGAATGGGTTGAATGAATTTAAAAGAGACAAAACTTACTGTTAGAAGGAGAGGCTTGTAATGCGACGCTGTGGCCACGAATGAAAAAGTCTCTGAATGTATGAATCAGTTAGTTGTAGTTGTATAGGATATTACAAATTTTGTTTCTTTTTTACTCAATTAGCTGTTTTGAAAAAAAAATTATTTACGGATTTTTTTAACGTTAATATTTTTTTATGATTATTGGCAAGTAGCGATAGACGTGTGTTCAACCACTATACAATGGAGCAGTAATAAAACTTTATTTGTGTGCCGTTTTCTTTAATAGGTTAAGAACAATAAAATGAATCTCGACGCTATGATAAATTAAGTCGACTTTGCCTTTATGGTTTTAAATAACCAACAATCATTATTTAAGAATAAGAATTACTCCATGTATGAGGTACTGTTTATATTTTTATAGCTTATTCATAGGAGCAATAAACTGATAGACCATGTATATAGATAGGAACCACTATACAATGGAGCACTAATAAAACTTTATTTGTGTGCCGTTTTCTTGAATAGGTTAAGAACAATAAAATGAATCTCGACGCAATGATAAAACAAGTCGACATGATGTTTCCTCCGGAAATGAAGGAACCCGAAAAAGCGGCCATAGAAAAATGCAAAGGAGTCGGTACGTTATAGTTGCTTTATAATTTAGCTGTAATTTAATCTGTTATATGACGTAAATGTAACAAGAAAATATAATGTAACAAGAAAATGATGTTTTTAACTATAAGCCGTTGTTTTTCCACATACGAAATTTATTTTTTATCCGTCCGTTAACATCTATTTTCTGTGGGCTTTATTAATTTACCCAACTTCCGAGCAAAGGCAGCAGGCACATAACAGTTATGCATATAACCTTTTCTGCACAGCAGCTGGCACATAACAGTTATGCATATAACCTTTTCTGCGAGAAAGTTTTAGACCACAATTTTACACTGTTTTTTTGTTTCGGCAAGTAGGGGCAATTAGAATTGGAACGTAGATGTATATTGTGTAATAAGGTTCCTAGTCTCTATCAAGTTTGAGGATAACGATAGACAAACTATATAAACTCTATACTTTGTATTATAAACTATAAGACTTAATAAATCTCTTTCCACTAGGCTCAGAATTTATTGAATCTTATTAATTATTCAATAACAAATATTATTAATTATTTTTATATTCATCTATCTTGTTCCAGCCAAGAACTATAAAGACATATGCGAAGCGTCGTATTGGACTGCGAAATGCATATATGAAGCAGATCCCGCCAACTTTTTATTCCCTTAGATAGAAATATCGATCATGAACTAAATACATTTTCACTTAAAAGACTAATCTTTTATTTTATTGGTCCACGAGAGTAATCTCATTAACCTAAAGCGTAAAAACAAAACAAAAATACGTCGTCGTATATTAGAAGGGTATTTCAAAACGTGAAATAAACATTTAAACAACTGTATGAACTTCAGAACGTGTACATTATGGTATTATAAAGAAATTGGATAAAATCTCTTTAAGCATATAATGTTTGAATACACCTATAGTTTAACGGTGGTAGGGCCACGCAGCAGCCTCGGCTGTTGCACGAATGGGCAGGCCCGTCCGGGTAAGTACCACGACCTCACAGAAGACCAGCGTAAAGTGAAAGTATGACAAATACTTTCGCGTTTCGTCTGGTGAGTGAGGTAGCCGGAGCCCAATTTTCAAAAGGTTGTCAACGCATCTGTAACCCTCGAGTGTGGCAGATGTCCATGGGCGGCGGTATTCACTTAACATCAGGTGAACCGTCTGCTCGTTTGACAACTTTTCGCATAAAAAAAAAAGTAAAATAGTTCCAATCATGTTTGTTTTAATAAGCACAGTCAATCAAACTACCAAACAACCTTTAATTATTTGCTTGGAATGAATAACATGTTACGTCTTACGCTGATCAAACAACCTTTAAATTGCCCAGAAATGACACTTCAAGACCAGTCTCTGACATTTTCCCTTCGAAGAAAGAATTGGACCGTTATAATGGATCATTTGCGAATATGTTTCTCAATGTTTGTTATAGTCCTCGCTTGTGGAACGAAGGCGGTAAGTGTTCCGATATCGTTTTGTAACCTCATGGAATTTTTTTAAAAACTACGATTCTACAAATAAACTATCAGCCTTTATTTACTTACAGCAACAATAATGAATTCAATACGTTTAAATCTTGAAAAACACTAGTAGATTAAAGTGTTCGAGTATTTTAGAATTATCAGCTAAAACTTTCTTATACAGATCAAATCAAATAAGAATTTTATAGCATTAAAATAAGGAATATCTGTTTCGAAAATATGACGAAACGTATGGTTAGCTATTGTATTGTGACAATGTGTGTATAAATAATAACTGACATTGTAGTTCAGATGCGAATATACACCTAAAATTACGTCGTGATTATTGTTCCCAGTATATTTGATAAAATCACACTTATTATGAAAAATTTATATGTTTAGATAGTTAATGGTTACGTTAAGAATGAATAAATGTAAAAAAGGAAAGTAAAACAGCTATAGGCTGTTGGGAAAAGGCTCTATACAGAGGGTATCAGGGCATTGTCCACCACGCGACCCCACTGCGGATTGACTTGGTTGGACTTCACATATCTTTGAAATATTTTTTGTTATTATTTCGAAAATATGCAGGTTTCCTTACAATGTTTTCCTTCACTGCCGAGCACGTGATGAGACAGCACTGCCCCCCCTCGAGCAACACTCCGGAAATCGAATTCAGGTTACCCGAAATTGAAATAAAGGCCTGGACACTGAGCTATTACGGCTCGAATTGAATAAATGTATTTATATTAAATAGTACGATTATGTTCGTACGGTATCGCGATAAAAATTATAAATGACTGTATAATCCACCAATAGTTATGTACATTGTGAAATGTTTTATAAAGTTATATTTATATGTTATTTTAAATGACTAACAAAATTAAATTATGTCATGTCTGGTTTCTAGATGACCAGACAGCAATTAAAGAATTCTGGGAAGATGTTGAAAAAGAATTGCATGGCAAAAAATGATGTCACTGAAGGTATTAAATTTTATGTTTTGTAATTTCGCACCGCTTATTATTTTTATATAATCATTCAAACAATTTCTTACAGATTTAATTGGAGATATAGATAAAGGAAAGTTTATAGAGGAAAGAAACGTCATGTGTTACATAGCTTGCATTTATCAAATGACACAAGTTGTAAGTTCGTTTAATACATTAGATATTAGATTTTGGATTGACTGGCTGACTAGATTTTGAAAAGTTATGTATATTTTTAGGTGAAGAACAATAAATTAAATTACGAGGCTTCACTTAAGCAAGTAGACATTATGTATCCGCCCGAACTTAAGGATGCGGTAAAAGCTTCTATTGAAAAGTGTAAAGACGTCTGTAAGTATAAATGTTATAATTTAACAAGCTTTCCTTTGAAGTTAATACTGTACGATTCACTGCAATGGATTTTTAAAAGTAATTGCGAGTAACGTTACAAAAATATACACTCATTTAAATTTCACTGTTTACTATTTAGGGGCAAAGGCAACATGTAACTGGATTTTTATTTACTTCATGAAATTGATATAAAATTAAGGTGCTAAAACGATGAACGATTACGTCCTGCTTTTATTTGATTTTGATACAGAGTGATAATTAAACGATCACACCAAATTTGTTTTTGTTTTCAGCCAAAAAGTACAAAGATTTGTGTAAAGCGTCTTACTGGACTGCCAAATGCATTTATGAGGACAATCCAAAGGACTTTATTTTTGCATAATAATCAATAAACAGATCCTATTTGAATTATGTCTGATTTATTTATCGCAACGAGACACGCAAAGATTCTCTATTTTTTATGTACGATTTTCTTAATATAAACTGTCCACAGGCTTAAGACAGTGAAGTTTATGTCTTCCTTGAATTTGCAAGTAATTAAGAGGTTTAACATTGTAGTTTGAATGGATTGGCCTTGAGTGTCGTATTGCCGGCAATTGACGTCATTGGCGCTCGAAAGAATTGCCAGGGAAATCACATTTGAACCTAGGGCTGTTACTCATTGAATGAACAACCAAGCATATTTGCTTTGAAAACGTTTATGATTCATCATCTGAAAACGCAACTTAGGTCTCGGTCTAACTATTAGGTCATTTTATTTAGGTCATTGAACGGCTTTTACTTTTATTTTTTCACCAAATTAAGATTTGAGACATTCTCAAATCTTAATTTGGTGTTCAAAACTAGGCTCAATACTTGTCTGTTTCTGACTAAACAAGCAATAAAATAAAATAGTAGAAAGTTTTCAGCACTTCAAACCCCGTTTACGTGTCGGATTATATATTCTACATATTCGATAACTTTTTATAATATACAAGAAAATAGTATTGTACACATAACCCGTAAAGTAAAACATGAAAAGTATCAGCTTATACATGACCCATTGCATGGCAACATGAAAAGCACCATTGAAATTATTGATTTTAACTAAGTCAGCTTACTTAAAATGAATAAATGCTCACGATCCTCAGCGATGAGAGAAAAAATCGTGAGGAAACATAACCTGTACGGGATTTAAATTCTACTGTTGACGCTATGATCAACAAACAATTTTACTTGTTTAATATTTTATGGTCATACACTATTGACAATAACTGCGCTTTCATTCATACAGTATGAACAGCTTTATTAAGTGGTGTTTATACTATTATATCTTTTTAAACATGTCAATGTATTTAAAAGTACCCAAGAGATGGTAATTTATAGATGTTATTAAGTAAATGCTACGAGATGTAAACACTTTACCCCACATTATGTCATTGAACAATAAAACAATAACTCTTATTTACTTGATGGAAACGTGTATTGTAACTATAGGTAACATTGATTTAAACAAAGGATAAAACTTTAAAACCTCATAAAATTAAAACTCTATGTAACGCTCATCGCCAACTGTACAATACACGCAGAGTCACGTTTCCTGTCTGATCAGCCTAATCGCTGTTTACAATTACAGAAAATAGGTGGTTTGTGTGTTGGTCAATAATTATATCAAGGTCCTTATGAGAATCAAAGTATTATCACTATTTAATCATAGCGAAATTGATATGTAAAATATAAATGAATCAAACAAATAAATTGTTTGCAGCAGTTCAGTTTTTAATTGTTTTATTGCTCATTATATCGATACTGTATACTATGAAGAATAAATAATTCAATAAACTAAATGTTAATTTCCTTAAGTGTTTTTATGAATCTGTAATATTTTCAGGATAACTATAAATGTTATCTGTCCTATCATTGAGTCTATTATTACTTAACCACTGGGTACCCAATATCAGTACAATTGACAGTTCATTTGAAACGAAATAGTGATGACATTCATTTTTACAGAGTACGGAAGATTTAGCCACAAAAGTTTTGTCCTGTGACATAAGATTTTTTTTTTTACGTTGTCCCAAAATTTATCAGAAAATGGGCAATCTCCTTTGTCAATTAAAACGAGAATATGTTTCTTTTTACTATTTCACCTTATATAAATCCTAAATCATCTATAAAGGCTTTGTGATGTTTATTTTGTAAATAAAACTCCATTGATTGATTAGGAAAAGTAGACTTCTCTAAAGTTTATATCGAAAAGACTGACAAAATAAGAACTTCGAACCTTATTGAATTAAACGTAGTCCCAAGATAAAAGAACCACAATGAATTAGGCGTAGTTACAAAATGAATCCATGGTTACTCCATTTATCGGCGTAAACTATCACAATATGCCAACAGTAACTTACTTTAAAGTAATTAAACCAAAATTAATTAATTTTAAAATAGAATAAATAATGATCAGTAGTTTTGCGAATAGTTTATTATTTTCATTTCCATAAATATTAATTAAGACTGTTTGTCTATTTGTATTTTATCTGTCTTACACGGCTGAACAGAGTTTGCTTGGATCGAGTTGAAACTTTTCAGTGAGTAATTTAGGTAAGTAGTTTAGAAAAAGCCGCCGCCTCACGGCCGGCGTAACACAAGGCTCCTGCCTCTCTCCCTTGCTATTTACGCTCTACACGAGTGACATACCTAGAGACCCCCACGTCAATCTCGCGCTTTTCGCGGATGACACGGCGCTCTTTTACTCAGATCGCAACCTCAGTCAATTAACAACTCGACTCCAAAGCGCCGCCGACCGCCTCGGCGATTGGTTCCGCAAATGGAGAATCGATATTAATCCCGAAAAGAGTGTGGCGATTCACTTCACACGAAGTACCTACCCGTCACATCTTTATAATGGCCCTCGCCAATGCAGAAAGTTGGGGCAAATATCCCATTATGGCCAACCGCTCCCCTGGGAGAAAAAGGTCAAATACTTAGGAGTCACTTTCGACTCGCGTATGTCATTTACTACGCACATTAATAACGTTCGTAATAGAGCCGCGTTCGTCTCCGGCCGGCTACACAATTTAACTAATGCTAAAAGTAAAATGCCCTTAAGGCACAAATTATTATTATATAAGACCTGCGTACGACCTATTATGTCCTACTCATGCATGATCTTCGCCCACACGCACCCTACTCGCTTGTACAAGTTGCAAATAGTACAAAATAAGTTTATCCGCCGCGCAACCGGTGCGCAGTGGTATCAGCGCAACGTCGACCTGCACAGCGATTGCAGACTCCCGACGATTCGCGCACATTTTAAAGATTTGACAAAACGGTTCCTCGATAGAGTCCAGCATCATCCCAACCCTCTGGTGGTAAGCGCAGCAAACTACCAACCGGACACAAACGCGAACGTAAACAAGCGTCGCCCCGCGAAACGTCCTCATCGACCCGGTCGACGAAGAGGACTTAGATACGATGGACCCACCGCCGGGGGTCCCGCCAGATAACACTACACCCACAGTTAGTGTAACAACAATCACACCAGTTCGCCCTCGCCTCCGAGCACGGCGAGACCCACACAACGCGTACACAAGGTACATCCGCGTTCCGGGGCGGTTCTCACCGCTCCCAGCCACCGATTAGCTAAATGCACAGTCGACTACCGTCGGGGTCTCGGTCCGAACCGGCGACCTCGACGGCCCTTAGATGACACACCATAGTAGTTAAACGCACGCATGAGCACATGCGCGACCCTACCCATAGCGGAGGGTCCAAACCCGTGGGTTCTGGCTAGCCCACCGGTTCTGCGTCCGACGAAGCTTTAATAGTCTCGGGACTGAAAGCAAAAACATCAGTTAATACAAGACAAGATAGTTTAGAAAATGCCTCCAGCGACTCGACAATCTATAGGAATCGGCAGCTCACATTATATGTGCATTCGGAAAAATTAGTATGCAGAAATAATACAAAAAAAGCATATGTATACAATATCTTATTAATAAACAAGGGCATTGTTTTCATCATTGATAATCAAAATTATAATAAACTCTCAGTTTTTAAAAACGCCAACCCTGAGGATTAATTTGATATATCATCAAATTCCTTCCTTCCAGTTTTGCTTTTTATTCTGTTGTTCCTGTTTATTCCGTTGCCAAATCACTACGGATGAAGTTACGGTATAAGTTGACATTAAAAAGAAAATGACAGTGTGAGAATAATGCGGACCACGCTGTTATTACGGATATAATCTTTTGACTTTTCATAGCAATTGGTTTAAAGAACATTATTGAAATTTCTATGAGAAAATAAATATTATATCTATATGTATGATTGACAAGAAGTCCCTTGGGTCTTGCGTACTTAATATGTACTTGGCTTATTGGTTTAAATAAAATTGAAACAATTATCATTTGTATCATCAATTATCGTTGTTTCTTTAAGAACAACAGAGGGATTCCATTGGCTTTGTTTTGCTGCAATGTATTTTTTTACGAATTCAGAATTAGTTCTTGAACTTGAAAACATAGTTCAACTAATGTTGACGCCACTCTTTTGTTCCGTTATGATTTTTGACCTTCAAAACTCAGACGTAGAGTCAGAGCAAAAAATGCTCTGAGTTTACTAGAGTTGATTTTCTGCCAGTTGGTTAAAGTAGTTGCATTCACACACATACTGCGATCAGTCAAGTAACTGACGAACACGCGTTTCTTATATAGGGTGACGCAGAACTCAACGTCAACCCGAAACGGGGTGACAGGATTGATTGTAATCATCATGAGAAAAATCAGAAAAAAGATGTATCCCATGCAGTTTGGAAATTATGGGCATTTAAGAAAAACCTAGAAATTTGGTTAAACTGAAACCATTTTTCGGTTATTGTGGTTATTTTTATTATTTTTGTTCATTTAAACTTTGGAACCGTAACCCTAAATAACATTTCTAGAACCACAGTAAAATTATTATTAATTTTTTTATTAGCAGTTTAAATTATTTAAAATTTTCAAAATTTGTCGACTTTGAAAGGCCCTCCTTTAAAAAAATGCACTAAAGTGCCTTGGCAAGTGCCATTAAAAGTTCGCGCATTTAATCAGGATTGTAAACTGGTACATTACATTGCTAGATTCATACTAAAATCTACTAAAAAAATAAAAACTTCGTGTGGCCCGATTTTTGCCAACCCATTTTACTCAGTTCAAATGTTTTTATTCGCACAAGCTCTTGGTAGGTTCTTAATTTTACAGCAAAATAATGAGAGAAATGGATAGTGGACATGTTTGCCATGAGCGACCGAGACAGATAGTGACGCCACGCAGTGAGACGGAGATGCGTCTGACACCCGTTAGTACGTTTCGCTCATTCGTCTACTGCGCCCTTTAACTTTCCGTATTCGCTTGTGTTGAT